TTCTCTTTTTAACTCTTCCCAGGACATGAATGGCCTTACGGATTTTAACCATAATTCTGCCGTACCGACGAGTGATCGCCTCGCCACTAGTAATTGTTGTAAAGGAGCCCACTTAAATATTTCTCCAGTATCCTCAACATCCTGTATCCATTTACTTACTGGATACGTACTGTCTTAGCAGCTGAATTTAGGTACCAATTCGGCCGTCACGTGTAAATTATTTTGATAAAAATAAGCGTACCTTTGCTGTCTGCTGGCATCGGAGATGCCGTCGTTTGCTGTCATCTTTAATTATTCGTATTCGTCTTTTAAATGTAACCACGCCGCCTCGCACGGTTACACCACAGTATGAAAATCCAGTTCAATCATCTCTTTGCTGCGTACGAGCCCACAAAATTATTGGGTTGGGGCGATAAAATAACCGGCCTTCTTCTTTTGTCACTTTATTTTTAACCCATAACCCTAGTTTTACAATATAAGGGTTTTTAATTATTTTTTTCGTCTTATGACACGTACAGCTATCTCGCGTCTTTTTTTCCATTCCTGCAATCACTCAGTCTTTTATAAGTCAGTCAAATCGATCACTCACTCTAGTCATCGTTTAGAAACGACATTCTTACATCTTACATTGTTTTATTTATGTGGTGTCGTGGTGAGCAGAATAAAAGATTTCGTCGTAACTATTAATTTATTCTCTCTTAAAATAAAATAAATCACTTGCACACGTCTTGGCTTGCCGTCTTAATACACCCTTCCTTCATTCTTTTTTCATTCATCCATCCCGTTCTTTCCAATCAGTCGTTCATGCGTATCAATCTTATTCACCTAACATTCCTTTTCGTTCTGAAACCACAGACCTACATCTCGGCCATCCTGGGTTTGGCTGCCTCTAGCCACACACCATGATCTCCTCTGACATGCTTAGTATAACCTAAACACACTTTCGGTTATATTATACAAGCTACATTATACAAAATAAAAAGAGACTTCACCCAAACATACCAGAATTACAATATTTCAATCTTATAGTTAAAACTAACCTATCTTATTACATAACACATTATGATTAACAATGATATACAGAATTAAACAATAACAGTTCACTACAACTGAGTGCAACCATTAAATTCTTAACGAAACACAAAAAAAAACTAGACTTACATTTTGGATACAAAGTGTTTTTATTGCCCCAGAAATTCTTAACACCCCCAATCTTTATAATATTACAATCGTATAGGAACCTTCATACTGCAAATGCAAGACAAATTTTGTTCATTTTTGTAACTGTTATCTGACTATCTTTGCCTTACACCTTGTATTATACAAAGAGAGATCTGCTCAAGTTATTTAAAAAAATATCAAACAAAAATAGAAAAAGTAAGAACCATAAAAAATGAAAGTGGCTATTCGCCTAAAGTATCATGAAACCCAGGCCATGGTTTCATTTGATCTGCTGAACTACTTGTTTTGGTAGGTCCCTCTCTATAGCTATGCATCTTTTCTAGGTCATAACGGTCATTCCCCTTGACTTTTGTTACTACATATGGCCCCAAAAACTTCTCCTTCAGTTTGAGACCAGAACCAAATTGGGTCCACTTGATGACAACTCTATCCCCTTCCTGATACTTAGTGCTTTCCTTTCTCTTCTTATTGTAAGACTGAGCATTTTCCGCCTGCACTTTTCCTATCTGCGCTTTAGCTAAACATCTTAACTCTTCCCTTTCCTGCATAAAACAATCTATATTCTCTTGTTGCAACAAATTGTAGATTTCTATATCTTCATTTATTTTCATCTTTACTCCGGTCATTAACTGAAATGGTGTAGTGTTGATACTTCTCTGAAAAGTACTGTTCAAGGCTTGCTGTAGACGGCTTACATGTCTATACCAAAGAGACTGATCTGAAATGCAAAGTTTTGTTAAAATTGGTATTATAATCCTATGTATTCTCTCAACTTGACCATTACCACGTGGTACACCAGTTGTGATTGTTACATGTTCAATTTTTTCTCTTTCACAATAGTCTCTAAATTCCAAACTGGTGAATGCAGTGCCCCTATCTGTTATAATCCTTGTAGGGTTGCCAAATATCTGCTGAAGGATTGAGAGTTTACTTAAAGTTTCTTTTGAGGTTGTACCCTTGGTAGGAAAAATCCAAACAAATTTTGAGAAACCATCTACTACAGTAAAAATATAATTATATTGTTTCTTTGTCTGTGATAAAGGTCCAATATGGTCACAATGCAGGGTATGCAATGGTATATTGTGTTTATCAATTGAGTGCAAAAACCCCTCTTGATGTCCCTCCTTTCTTGTAGCTAGTAGACATGGTATACAGGTTACAAGAAATTCCTCAATTTTATTGTTTAAATTTTTAATGAAGTTATCTTTACCAATTAACTCTATCATTTTCTTCTTAGAAAAATGGCCGCGCTCGTGAACTCTTCTAATTATTTCTGTCTCCATACTTTTAGGAATAACTAATTGTTTACTCATACCTTTGTAAAGTAAGCCTCTTTCCAAATAATAATCTGCAAAAGGTTTTTCCCGCAAAATCTCCTTTATAGCCTTCAATCCCTCATCACAGTCTTGTGCTTGTTTTATTTGATCATGCAAGGTCACCACCATTACTGCTTCATAACAATTCCTACTTAAGGCATCCGTGTGTCTCATCTGGTTGCCAGACCTATGTTCATAATACATAATCATACAGATCAAGTAAAAGCACCCATCTAGCCACCTTAGGTGTCAAATCCCGTTTCTTTAAAGTCATACTAAAAGCTTGACAATCTGTAACAATTTTAAATTTAATCCCAAAGAGGTAATGATGAAATTTTTTAACGCCCTTGACTATGGCTAAGGCCTCCAGCTCATAGCTGCTGTACTTGCTTTCAGCATCGGTAGTTCTCTTACTCATGTAGTGAATAGGATGTAATTCCCCAGTCGGTGCCTTCTGCAGCAATATAGCCGCATAAGCCACACTAGATGCGTCTGTGTGTAGCTCAGTCTCAAGTTGAGGATTAAACAAAGATAAAACTGGGCCACTTACCAACTTCTGCTTTAACACATTGAACGCCTGTCTCTGTATATCATCAAAAGAAAAACTGGTATCTTTTCTTAAGAGGTCAGTGAGCGGTTTGGCCAATAAAGCATAATTTGGAATATACTTTCGGAAGTAAGACGTCAGTCCAATGAAGCTGTGCAATTGCTTAAATGTCCTCGGTTCTGGATATTTCATAACAGCCTCAGTCTTATCAAGTGAAGGTCTCACCTTTCCATCTTCCATCATATGTCCAAGATATTCCACTCGTCGCGATGTTAGGTTTGCTTTCTTCCAATTGATCTGTAATCCATGAGTGGATGCAACTTGTAGAACACATTTTAATCTCTCCAACGCCTGAAATTCATCTTCAGCATACACAATAATATCATCAATAAATGTTGCCATTATATTTTTTGATACTAACTCCCTGAATATTATTGATACAAATCTAGTGAAATACTTAGGGCAGACTGAAATGCCAAATGGTGCTCTAAGAAATTCCCATTGCCCATGGTGGGTAACAAAGGCAGTGTATTTGACAGATTCCTCACTAACTTTCAAATGGAAAAATCCATTTTCTAAGTCTAGAACACTAAAATATTTAGCACCACTTAACTTATCAATCAAATCCTCTATTATTGGTAAAGGATATTCATCTTTAACCATCTTCTTGTTAATATCTCGATAATCAACACAAACTCTTGTGGATCCATCTTTTTTTCTAACACAATAGGGCTAGCATATTCTGAATAACTTACCCGAATTATATTGTTGTCCAACCACTGCTTTACCTGTTGTTCGACAATCTCGCGTTCCTTCATAGATATCCTTCGTGGACGATGAGCAACAGGGATCATGACCTTTTATTTTTATTTTGGACATTTACAAACGCTTAAGTTAATCGTTCTTAGGGAAAATAGAGGGCATTTTAAATTTAAGATTCCGCGACATAATTATTATGGCGTGTCGTGTCCTTATTGGCCATGAAACCTCTTTGTTTTATGGACTTTAATATCATGTTTTCGCAGATGTAGCGTTTTTTTATCTTTTATCAATTCCTGCTTTTGTTGATGCAGTAACCTTATCCCAGGTGAAATGAAATGATTATGCTCTATATGGGTTAAAAATCTTGTAGGACTTTTAATCCACCAGGCCAGATAAGTTGGTCGCACTATGTAACAGTATGTTGACCTACTGTTACTGCAATCAGAAAATATAGTTGATGTATTAACCCTAAGTATTCTTAAGTAAAATATTATTGTGTTGTTTTGTATTAATAAAGAGATTTTAGATATATAAGTTTTGAGGTAAATAAATGATCGAATTTACAGGTTTTGTTTTATTTAAAAAAAAAAACAATTATATTAATGTTAATTTTATTACACAATACAGACATTAAAACGATATAGGTTATAGTTAGGTTCATTGATATTCCAAAAATTAAATCAGTCTTGTTAAAATGGCTAACTATATGCACAGACGAGATTTTATTTAGAATTTGTTCGCTTGGGTATTAAAATCATAAAATAAAAACAATATCCTTGTTAACAAGTGCAAAATAAAAACAAAAATATAAATACCTACACAAAAATCTATTAAAACCAAAAGTTATTGGCACTTAAGAATTAAGTTAAATGTCAAAATTTCTAAGGAAATACTTGGATAAGTATTAAAACCGAAAAGACTATCACAGTTGCTTAATTTAAAAAATGCTGCCGGGAAATAGCATGGTAAAGAAAAAAACAAACATTACTCCAAAGTAGTGTTGCCATCTTAGGAAGAAAAACTACACAGAGAAGGCACAATCATATAGTATCCCAAATAACATTTAATTAATTTAGATACAACACATTGTTAAATAGTAAGTAGTATAAACTACTCATTAATTAAATATTACCTATATTCCTATTAATTCAAAGCAAACTAGCTTTTCGTCGCGAAACATAACAATTTTGATCATAATTTAAAATCTAACTCCATAGTCAACCTACATACATATATTTGCATTGATAGACAAATAAATATTGACGATTCTTATTCAGATTAACAATTGTTTAAAACTCAGAATGTTATTTCAGTTGCTTGTCAAAGATAAACTATCTGTAACTAGAACTAAAAGATTTGCAAACATGGAAAAAACATTTATGTATGAAATACACGCACCAAGTGATAAAAACCAAATCTGTTTGATTATTTCATAAGAAATTGGTATTATCATTTTAATAAGAAGAGGTTTACCTTTGATAAATTCGTGTACAGTATCGTCCGAAATCAATATCTCATCTCGAACCATTTTATGCAAATCTTTTGGTTCAAATAATCAACCTAAAGATTGCAATAGCATTCAAACTCGATGCTTAAAAGCTGATCCAATAATTTTTGCATTCTATTTTACACAAATTTATTTATTACAAGGTAATCAAAGATCCAATATTGATTTCGGCGACAGCAACTGTCAAAAAACCGTGAATTCCCGCCACGGTGACGTCACACGTCATAGACTAGAGAACGCTTCGCTGTCATAGAATAGCTAGACGAGCGAAGTGCATAGAGCAACTAGACGAGCAGCCGCCGCACGCCGCACTCGATGCAGAACTTGGCGGAGTCGACTGGGAAGCGGCTGCCGCACTCGTGGCAGAAGCGCGAGAGGCGCGCGGCGGCCGGCGGCTCCGCGTGCACAGACGACTCCGAGCCGCTCGAGCTCAACTCCTGCCGCGATCGCCACACAGCGCTGCGTTGAGACGACGCTCGGGAACTGACGCGCTTTTCTATAGAATTAAGATGTTATTAAAAATAAATCTTAAGGTATGGAAAAATTGTTTAAAAACATTAGGATATAGAAGAAAAGTTTGTCTATTATTTTTTCACACTTATTTATTCTCACTTATAATAGGTTCTACTGTTGGTCATAAAAAACGGTTGTTTTGTTTTAAGTGACCAACTATGTAGTTCGAATATACTAAATCACTCATCCAAGTATTAAATAAGAGCTGTTGCTCGTGTCTTCGCCCCCATGAAATCAAAAATAATACAAAACACAGCCTATATCACAAATAAATTACTTTACTAATGATTTTTTTCAAAATCGGCGCGGTAGTTATAACGTGAACCAAATTTTTTTTTATTAGTAAGTATAAGTATAGATAACAATGTTCTGTTCAATTCTCACCGCTTAATGTGTGAACACCGAGCTCCTTGTACTGCGCGTCGACTTTGGCTATAGGATCGTTCAGTTCTGTAGATCGCTCCATGGCGAGGAACTCCTGGCTGGAGACGGACCTGACCTCGTCCTTGTGGCTGTCGACGGACTCCGAGCCGGCGTGGCTTCGCTCCGGCGCTTCAGAGTCCGTCGGCTCTTTGGAGTTACATAGCGATAATTTTGATGGAGATATCCTATTTAAGCTGGAATTAATGTAAACATTATTGGATAATAAGAAAATTTTAAGGATTAATTTAATATTTGTGTCACAGTGAATTAAAAAATTCTGGTATTGACTTTAACTTTACATTTGTGTAGGAATTAATTACCTGACTAACCTGCTATACGCTGAATCGTTGCTGGGCTTTCCGCCGGGGGAGAAATGACCATTCGACATTTGTTCGTTTTTATTGTTTTTCTTCTCGACCTTCATTCGCGATTCCTTCTTTGTAGAATTGTGGACATTCTTAGAGCTGCTAATTAAGTCTTTACTGGGCTGATTGTTTTCTATTCTCTCCGACTCGTAGAATTTATCAAAGTCCTTGAGAGATTGCATTATATCCTGTTCAAGAAGGTCCGCTTTGTGACGGTTCTTCGAAGATTCCGCTTTCAGCGTGCCTCTCTTCTGTATGGAATCAAGGAGGGATGTGGAGCGTTTGACGGAGGATGGGAAAAGGTTGTCGCCCTTTACATTATTACTGCTAAAAACAAGAGACATTGATTTGTTAACCGGTATCATACCATTATTATTAAAATTTTTGGCAATAGGTGTACTTTCGCCATTTATACTCGAAGTCTTGTGCGTATCGAATATATCAGACTGTTTAACTATCCTAGTTGTAGAACTATATGTGCGTTTCTTTTCAGTTTTTTGCTTATTGACCTCCTCGTCAAAGGAAGTCATAAACTCCTCTAGATCAAAATCCTCGCAAAGAGATTCATCGTCCCTAACGGATGTTTTTGAATTTATACTTTGTTCTAAGGAAGACATAAATTTTTCATATTGCGAATTAAGGTCGTTTAAAGAGGCTGCATTAGATTTGTTCGTGTTATTGTTTTTATTGATTCCATTTTTAATTTGTGCTATAGATTTTTTATTATTTTTATCATTAAAGTTAAACGAGTCAAACTTAGCTGGAAGATTTTCCGTCGTAAGTAACGACTCCATGCTGCTTATTATATCGGGATTATTAAGAATAGTGGTAACGTTGATGGGTAAGTTATCGTTTTCATTGATTAATCTGGGATCTATATAGTTACTGTCGGTCATAGAAGCGTTATCGTAGGACAGAATAGAATCAAGGTTAACGAAATTTTTCCTATCGTCGTCATTTTTTATCTTATCGAGTTTTAGAGGTTGTTTTATTGTCGAGCGTTGAAAACTATGATACATGGATGGTGCTATTTTAGGAATCTTATCTTTTAATTTGGGCGAATTGTAATTGGAAGAATAATTGGAAAACGATCTATTTAAATTACTATTTCTACTAAAATTGGTCCTATCTGGGGTGCTAATATTTTCTTTGCTCGATTTAATGAACGTTGTGTTTAATTTTTGACTAGAATTTTTATCATTTCTGTTTATCCTAAACGAGCTACATCTACCACCGAACGAACTCTTGTTTTCGTTACTAGGACTTCCGAATGATTTCATTCTTTGTAAAGTTGGTGTTTTCTGATAAGTCTTATTGAGTGTATCTTTCATCAATTTTGTATTATTTGTGAGATGCGAAGGTGATATTTTATCTTTATTCGGGCGAAGGACGGGAAGGGTTTTGTTTAATTCTTTGGGAGAGGTTTGCATTTTTTTAGGAATATTTGTGTCGGACGACATGAGCTCTTTCATTTGTCTAGCTGCAGACGCGAAGGGGTCGTAATTGTCGTCGAGCCTGCAAAGTTGATATTGCATGGACTGTAGACCATATTTGTAAAGAAAGTTTGTAATGTTTATACTAAACAGAAGACAAATAATATTTTATGATTTTTGTGCGATGATACTAAAGTAGAAAAATAAAATGCACACACAACTTACCATCTTTATCCTATTATTCAAAATATGTACACAACTTACTACTAAGGTAATGATGTATAAATAAATACATGAATACATAGTATATAAGGAACGAAGGAATAACCTTTTAATTTCGATTTTAGGTAATTTTAATGGAGGCGCTTCTGAGGAAATCGAATGCGAATCGCTATTATCTCCTTGTTGAAGTTCGTTAACAATGAAAGTTTTGTTTTCTATACTATTTCGAGTTTCCTTGTTGAAACTCTTGTATTTTTTACTCGATTTCGTAGTTTTTAACAATTTTCTATGAGATTGTTCTTTTGTCATCAAATTATTCGTTTCAGATATTGAAGGTAATTTTAATTGGGGCTTTACTTCTTCTATAGTCTGGATTTCTTCTGCGAATTCTTTCTCATAGAACTTCAGCTCAAAAACGGTGATGTGTTCCATATCATGTATATTTGTCTTTGTGTCATCATTCTTTAGATTATTAGCAGTGTTAACATCCGTCGTTTGAATCAATATGTCCTTTAAATCGCTTTTTAAATCCGCTAATGCATCGGAAAATTCATGTTTATCAACATTTTGTTGTTGTAAATCGGTTTTATTTAAAGCTTCAATAGAAATAGAATTAGGTGTATGTAATCCATCCATATCTTTCTCGAAATTATCTTCTGCTGATTTAATATTTATCATTTGATCTGTTAAATTGAAAAATTCTTCTAATTCAGTGGGTCCTTCTGACACCTTCGTATAAGTATCACCACTTCCATGACGACTCATTTCATTATTTATCGACGGTTGCCGTAAATCTTCAACAGAATCATTAAATATCTCCGCACTAAGATCGTGTTCGTTATGGTTTTCCTCAAATTCTTCAAACGAATTATTTATTTCGTCATATTTATTTTCAGTTTCTCTGTCTCTGGATCCTTCGTTAGTAGATACAGTTGCAGCACTATGATTAGAATATTTCTCTGTTTCATTCACATACACGGTATCTTGAAAATTACAATTAACAGAATTCATTTCTTTTATATCAAGTTGTGATTCACTTACTTCTTTTGATTGCTCATCATAAGAAATTTCCATCTTGGGGTTTTTATATAAAAGTTCCACCGATGTATCGGAAACAAGCGAATTTGAATTCTTCGATACATTTAGTTCTTTCACGTAATATTTTGTTTTTTTCTTTTCATCTTTAGTCTGTTCTTGACAGGTATAAATTTTGCAAGGAATACTTGGACAGAACAGTTCAGTATTGATACCAATAGATTGATAATTTCTATTGTTACTCCTGTTGCTTTGAACATCTTCGAGACTATCTAAACTCATAGTGCTTTCTTTAACGTTTTGTTTTTTGGTCTTTGCGATATCTGATTTATCATTTTGTTTTCTTGTTGATGATGGATTTCGTTTCTCAATTGGTTTTTGTTCCGAACGCAACGTATCTTTATCATCTTCCTTGAGACTCCCCAATTCAGTGGAATTAGTCCCTGTTTTAACAAAACGTCTTTTTTGTAATACAGTTTTCTTTATAACAGGTATTTGACTTTTGCTATCTTCAGTAAGTTTTGGCAATCCGATTTTTTCTTCTATTATCCTTTCTCTTCTTTCATTATATTTAGTTGTGATTTCCTCTAGTTTTTTGAGTTGTTGCTTTTTCTTTACATTTACTCGATTTCTAAGGTTATTTGACGATGGTTTATTTGTTAGGGTTAGTTCGGCGTTACTTTGTAAGGAACATTTGGAATTTCGGGAGTTTCTACGGAAAAGGAAAGGAAGGGTTTTAGTATGCTTTGAAATTTTAGAACAAACAAGGAGACAGGAACGCTTTTAACGTTATCGAACAATTAAAAATAATTACAAAAACAAATACAAGCAACCTTCCTTTCCCCTTATTTGCTATAACTATGTATTAAAAAGAAAAAAATCAGAAAATACCTAGTACTACTAATATCTCTCGCAAGTCTGGCCTGCCTCGCCTTCACGTTCGCATCGCCTGAATTGTTTTGAGTTGTTCTTGAATTCCTTATGACAGGCACGTGAGGAGCGCCGTCTTCGTGGCAGTCGTTACTCGACATTGATTCTGGAATTAAAAACAATTACACTGTTTATTCAGATTGTTAGACCTCTAGAGATCACCTGGGAAGTTTAAGTGCCGAAGGTTCCGAAACCTTCGTCTTTATCATTTGATGATGGCTACCGAGTGGGTTTTAGTGCGACAAATCCCACGTAATCTTGTCTTCCCCCCAGAGGGCAGGGTATCTTTGGAATTGACGGGGAAACGTCACCAAAAAAGACCTCTTGTGATGCCTTACGTAGAAATGAACAACTTTGTAATGATTATTAACTTATTAAAAGTTTCGTGAGTCATTATACTAATAATTAAAATTACGTGAAAAACTGAAAATGGTCGGTGCCTATACCAAATTTTTCACGTGGTTTAAGCCATGCTTTATAATTAACAAGCTTTTGCCTGCGACTCCGTCGACGTGGAATTAAAAAAGAGTGAGTTGCCTATGTGTTCTTCCAGACTATCCTCTAAATCTATACCAAATTTCATTGAAATCCGTCCAGCCGTTTAGGCTACAAATTTAAGAAACATCCATCCATCTAAACTGTCACATTTATAATATCAGTAAGAAGTGTGCTTGATAAGATAATGTTAAGAGTGTATATATTACCGGAGGCCCTGGTGCGGCCCTGCTTGTAGTCGCCGAACTCCCTGGGAGGTGGCGGGGACACGCCGCGGGACGACTCCACCGACGTCGACCGGCTGGTAGTCTTGTCGCGCGACTGGGATGACCTGGAAAATATTTATAAGTTAACATAGACGAAGATTATAACAAATTAAGTAATCATTGTGTTGCAGTAAGTCGTACAGTTAATCTATCTATTTTTAACTATACTAACATAATAAAGCCTAAACACACACCACTTACATACGTAAGTCAGCAATCGCAGTTTTTGAATAATCCTTTTGTTAAAAAGCCTCACACTTACGATAGGTTACAGGGTACATATTTTCACGCTTTTAAACCAAGGGGGTAAATAACCTTCATGTGGATAAGGGACCAAAAACTACAAACTGACAACATCAAGGAAGCAAGATCGACATTTTAACATTGTTATCTACAGTCAAAGACTGTCGTTGTCATTTGTGTATTTGAATTTTGACAAATGTTGTAATAAAGTTTTTACAATTTCACGCGGATAAAGCCGCACTGGAACAGCTATTTATTGCATAAAAGTGAACTTTAGTAGTTCAGAGATTTTATTTTAATTTACTAATTTCTTTTTCACAGTGGTGGTTTTGTTATCCATTCCGTAGCAAGAGGTGTCAGAGAGGACGATATAGCTTCGTCGCTGCTTCTTTTTTGTTATTGAACGAACTTGTGGCAATTAATTGGTGATTTTAAATACAGTATATGTTACTGATACGTACTTCCTGCCACGTGCGAGGGGTGCCTTATACTGTGTACGTGCGTTGAGGCGCTGCTTGGCGTCGGCGATGTGCGGCGGCGGCGGCGCGGCGGCGGCCGCGGGCAGGATCTTCGCCTTGTCGGCGCACCACTCCACATGCCGCTCGAACGCGCGCACGCCGAACGCCCGCGAACAGTGCGGACACCGTTGTAGCTCCGCTGTTGGCTGGAATATTAGTAACACTTCGTTATTTTACCATATGGAAATAAGATATAGAATGATATCTAATTACTCTGTACTAATATTATAAAGAGGAAAGATTTTCTATGCGTATTGAAATAACTCAAAAAATTACTGAGCCGTTTTTAAAACTTCCTTCACCGTTAGAAAGATAATTTATCTGTGAGTAACATAGGCTAAACTTTTAATATTTTTAAAATTTTACGCGGACTATTTCGCGCGAAACTTTTTTTCTAATAGTGAAGTCGTGGAACATTAAGAGTCCTGGCAGCAACCTAGATGGTTGTTGCTTCTAGCAATGTTGAAAGACCTAATATCCTCAAAACTAAAATAATATCATGTAATATAAATAGAAATATAAGGTTTTATATTTAAAAATATAGTAAAAACAGTGTTGCAATATAATACAGGTAGTACAATTATATCACGACCAGACAAAAAACAAAGAATGAAATAATCGACTTGTAATTGTAACTCAATCAAGTATTTTACGCTATCTACTTAATTTGAATATAGCCAGTTCTTCCTTCTTCATAACAAAGGTGTACGAACTCTTTATCAATGTAGTCATTTTGCATTAGAGCGTAAAGAGCATTTTAGCAAGTCAAAGGCGGGAAATGAGACTTTGGCTAATTAGTACAAATAACCATTCAAATGTTCGCTGGGATACATTTGCGACAGGCGTTCGCGTGACGTGAAAATAACTTTCATAATTCTTTACTGTCATGTAAATAGGTATACTAATAAAGCCTTTCTTAGTCCATTGCTGGACTTGTCGTCTTTAGCTTATGGAGAAATAGTCTAAATGACAGATCTTTTACGCCAATTATCTTTACGAAATTTTACAAACTTGCTGTTCAAAAACGTCTTCAGAAAATAAACAGTGTTTGGAATAGAATTAACTTGTCAATTCTTAAAAATTCTTAAAAACTATTCATATCATTAATAAATCATGCGATGGAAAATAGTAAACATGTTATGACTGCGGATATAATAGATATGGTAGCGTATTGCCAAAGTATACAAAGAAATATAAAGGAATGTAAAATAATACATCAATAAAATAAAAAACAATCTAATTTCTATGTATGGATAATAACATTTTTCCGACACATTGAACCAATGCTCCTTAAAGGCCTAAATATAGATATTTATATCATCTATACTAATATAAAGCGTAAACACACACACTTTGTGGTGCAGGATATCAGCAAGCATATTTTTAATAAATCTTTTTTTTAATAAAAAGCCCTTACGACACGCTTTCGGCTATATATTTTCACGCGATTAAATTTAGGGGATAGATAAATTAAAAAATTTAATGTGGGAAAGGGACCATAAACTACAAGTTACCAACATTAAGGAAGCAAGGTTGTTATGGTAACGGTAATTTTGACATTGGACAAATGTAAACAATAAAAAAGTTTTTATAATTCTTTGCGGATGAAGACGCACGCGAACATTTTAAACATATTTCAAGTTACTTGTATACGTATAGTTGGGTTCACTGTATCACTAATGTCACAGACTATTTAAAAAAGAAATGTCCCAATTAAACTGGCTGTAATTGACGGGCGGAAGCATCGGCTCAGAGCGACCAGTCTGCTCTGGTATTTATTATCTAGATCGCATCTTTTAAGACTAGAATCTGGTAACGTAGAAAGCTCGAAGCTTCACATCTAAAACGACTTGGTATTGATTTTAAGTACAAACAATTAGATGAAATTGAAAATGTTTCATTAAAAATAAAGCTTATACATTTTCTAAATTAAATACATATACACGTATAACATAGATAGCTAGAAAAACCAATTGCTATCCATCTAATGAGTGAACATTTAAGAAATATATTTATGGACTCAAATTTACATTGGTTGGAAGTGAAATCCCGTGCATTTGTGTGTGACTGTTCCATTCAATCATATAGCATATAAGTACCTTTTTTATTGTGCTCCTGACTGACTGAGGTTTGGGTTTAGGCGTCGGCTTGGCAGTGTTGGGCGGGCTCTTCTCGAGGAAGGGGCTGTTCTCTGGAAGACCGAAATTCTTTGGCAAGTACTGTTCCAAATCTGTGCCTGGAATATCGCACAATCTTATACAGTACATTACTTATAATTAACTTATAAATAAACATATAATTTTATATTATACGATAAAGTCCTTTACATTTCATGATGCTGAATACTTCACGATTTGATTTTTGATTGGTTTGAATCAAACTAACTTAACAAAATGTTAATTAACTTCAAATTAATATCGTGTCAAAAATGAAAGAAGTCATACGTACAAAGAATCAGGCGCAATGCCAGTTGATTGCCAAATGCGGTAAGCCAATCTTAGACCACAATTCGCATATTCATAGCAGAACACCTAATTTTGCAATTATGACGTGTTCCCAATGTTTATGCAATTACTGTTCGGTGTATCGGTTGCCATTTTGACATTTAATGCTATTTTTCGCGGTTAACCGTAAACTATTGCAGAGGTTCGACACAGTACATTCAACATCACAATATGCACTCGACTAAACGACTAAAACGCAATGAACTACAAGCGACACACCCAAGGCACGGCTCAAGACAAACAATCCATGCATTTAATATGATTTAATAAACATGAATCATCGTTTTATTTCGAATTCAATTCTTGAACCACGGTTTCTCAAACTACTCTGCTTACTTTCGGTAGAAATATCGATGCTCGTTTACAAAAGATCTAAGAAAGAATTACTTAACATTATTTACTAATAATGGCTTCTCATTAAAAAAATGAATAATCGCGTTGCCATATTTTGATGTGTCATAATAATCTAAACCAATTAGATTTATGCGAAAAGTTTTAAAAACATCTGAGAAATATTTAAAGCAATGTTCATCATCGAAACTGGAGCCAGTGTAGTGTTCTGTCATTTTGTATTAGGTAAATGTATAGAGACAGAATTTCCGATGAAAGATTGAGAAACATGTATCGAACTATGATGGGTAATGGTAGGCGATTGTTAGCAAACACAGCGTAGGAACAAATATATTATGCAAACATGGACCTCGTTTCGTTCAAGTTAGAACATACAATCGTGCTGTTTACGGCTACAAGCATTTTCTTTGTTTTCAGACTGTTCTAGATGCTTCTTGTAAATGCGTTCAATTATTAATAGCACTTTAGTCGCCTATTTAAGAACATCTAAAAAAATTTAGGCTTGAGTTCGCGCTTAGCTTCGATTTAAGTATCCCAGACGACCAAGACTCTATCGATAACTTCAATCGTATTACTCAGTATAAGACGCAATAAATAAAAGTTGAATATCATTAGAGTTTATCACAATTGGAACGTGAAGAACATTACCCAACACAATGATATGCAATCAAATGTAATATTAAGGTACCGTATGGCTTTAGTTATTAATGTACTTCACGTAAGTGGGGTATTTCGCAGTTATCTTATAAATTCTAATGTTATTCAGAGTCAGCAGTGATTCTCATTACATCGATGATTGTAGGTGTTAGTAAAATGTCCGCATACAATGCGCGGTGTCACCGTTACATTGGTGTCGGTGTGGCAGGCGATGAGGCAATGACATGTAAATGGTTCACCCACTCACCGGAACTGGGATGGCTCGTCGTTGCCAGCCCTTATTAGCCATAGAAATACACAAGTTCATATTAAAATATTAAAAATAAAATAAATCATATCAGAAAATTAGTATCTCAAAAAACATAAAATACTACATACTTCCATTGTTATAATCCTCCAACAAGGAATTCCCAAGAGTAGTATAGGAAAAATCAAAACAGTAAATTACCTTCGCGTCTCTGCCTCGAGGAGTCGAAGGTCTTTCGCTTCTTAGCCATGGTTTTCTCGCATATTTTGACGTGTTTTGCCAGTGACTGGGGTACGAAGGTGCGGGCGCAGACGGGGCAGGGCATGAGTGGCAGCGGGCCCGCGGGCTGCGGCGCCACGGGGGCCACGGGGCTGGTGGGCACCGGCGGCGAGGGCGGCGGTCCCACATGGCTCGGCGGGGGAGTTCTCAGCAGCGGCCTGTACGACTCGCAGGGGGAACTGTCCCCCGCCGGCTCCGGAGACGCGGAACGTGACGACTTTGCTGACAATTCTTGTTGTTGCCGTTTACCTAAAACAAGTGACAGATTTCTTCATGAAATACATTCAACAACTTTAAAATAAAATAAACGAAATCAAAGAAAATGAAACAATTATCTTTAAGTTTTTTTTTTCTATGTGGTGGTATCTTAAACAGTATAAACAATATCGTGAGAGAAAGTGAGGGAAATGAAGGTATAAAATGTAATTACAATTTTCTTAAACTGTTAATCAACTGAACTGATGATATCGAAATAGAAAGGTTGTATTAAAAATAGAAATTCTCACGACTTCCGACACATGATGATCGTTAGGTAAAATGCAACAACACTTTTACTATCCCTGACTCAAATTACTCATCTCTTTCACTTTCCGAAGATATCAAATTACATAGAATTTGTTATGTAGCAAGTGTAGCGTTACAGTATTATGAAATTAGGTTTATGTCTTATAAACTTGACTAAACTAAAATAACACATTTTTCATTTCTTATCTTAATGCTGCATATACCAATTTCTTTTATATGTACGGTCAGGTCATATGAAAAAACAATATAATTCACAATAACAACGCTCTAAGCGCAAAAACATAATTTCCAAGGGCGCGTTGAAGGTAAACATGACGCAAGCCACCGGCCGCGACCATCGATTAGGCAAATTACTATTAAAACACGCAACTTCTTATATACCATATAATAAATATATGTAACCTATCAGACAAATTCTAGACAAGACAAATACTATATATTGAAACAGTGCATTTTGTACTAGGACAACTCAATCCGAAATACCACTGCATAATACTAAAGCATAGTTGTTGGTAAACAATCCTGAATCTACCCAGCAGAATAATGCGCGTAATACTTTTCATAAATAAAGAATAACAATTGCATATACTTACAATAGCAACAAAGAAGTCGTAACGTTAAATTAAACATGACACTATTTAAAATATTAATATTTTCGATTTCCAAGCTTATTGATATTCCGATTTATCACAAGACTGCGAGCGACCGGTTCCCCTCATTTAACGTATTCGTAAACGACACAGCAAACCGGTTTCATTCACTACACTAGGCGATTAAATATAACTTAATCTTGCATAAATGCAAGTGTTTAACGTTCCAAGTTAAAACTTGTTATACGACCTTGACTTAGGTTTTGATAAACTAATGTGCAAGAATCAATTGTCATTAATTTTAACGAGGCGGTATTAAAAAAAATACTAAGTGGGTATTTAATAAATTAGAGATGTCAAACGTGTTTATGTATAAATAGGGTTGTGAATGGTGTACCAAAATCGTGATTTTTCGATTATCGATATCGATAATGTCGAACAATTAATTTAAAGAAACATAATATTCTCATCCAAGAAATGTAATTTTAAAATCACTCTGCTCCGGAAGCATTTAAATGTAAAGCAGTAAAGCGTCAGTCTGAATATCTGTTAATGCAACCACAAACAAAATAAACAGCTAAATTATTTGTGAATCCTAAGTTGTGCTACAAACCGAAAAAAGAAATATGTGCTGATTTAAAATTCCGCATCAGTAGAGGCTATCATCACCGATTTTACCCTTTCCGAGAACATATTGGCTGTTCCCAACACAAAAGATGTCTTCGTTATGCGCCGCACGTTGAATTGACGAAATTGCTACAAGTTTTATTTAACAGTGGTTAACAAGCGGTCCGAAGTCTGCCGGCTGCCTACATCAAAGAGCTGAGTGTAAGTAATAAGCGGGGAGAGAACAGGGTTGTTGTTATTAATGGCGTTAACGATGTGTCTACAGCCGACTCGAACGTTAAGGATATCCTTGTCCAAATTACGATACGTTTTTATGTTCGGTTTTAAGTTTTGTCTCAACTTTCACGCTTGGATATAATTAAGTGTTCGTTTAAAAAAAAACATCGATTTGATTGTTATGGGATGGTATAAAAAAATATACGTTTCTTGTGTCACTTTTGTATGATTTAATAACAGATCCTGTCTATCTAAGAGCAAATATGTATAGAAGTTCATTAAACACTATACTCCATATATTTCCTCATGAAATGTATAAAAAATAACTACTGTATTGGGCTTGGACTAATAAATGTCGAACACATTTTAAAGCAATTTGTACTAAATAAGATAGACTACCGTTTAGGATCGTTGTAAGGTAATAAATAAACTGTTTAGTTTACCGTTTATGACTTGTTCTGTACTAAAGATATTTTTTAATTGCAGCCGCAAGCCAGACGCGTCCTAAATATCTTCCATTGAGATCATATCACGAGTAACTGACGATCAGATTTTTAAAACGATTTGCTTGATAATTTTCTCCAAATTTAATACCATTACTTCTGAACAGTAACAATGATTTATTATAGGAGTGATTTATTATTATTAGCCTTTAAAAAAATGAAAAAATATTTCCGATAAAAATGAAATTTATGATAGTTTTTTTTCATATAACTTTTTTATAAATAATCTGTAGAAATATCAATGTTGTAGTAAAGAACTAAGTCACTTAAGACAAGTCACATACTTAAATACACAAATCCATACTCAAAATAAACCTGAGGGATACTGTCCAGGAAATAAGGAAAGGCAAGGGGAGAAATCGTACTAGTCATTGCCTGGCACGTTAAAGAAAAACACCCTTCAAAAATCGACTTACGTTGAAAATGAAAACGCGAGGTGTATATTTATAGTTTGCTAGAAACAATTGTTAAAACATTGTATCACGTATTAAAGTAGCCAGAAGGTAGAAGAGATGTAATCATCCCTAGAGAATCAAATAAAGTCAAATACTTAAAAAAATAACTTTAAACAAAACCTTAACTAGATTTAGCTAACACCATCGCCTAGCGACTAGCCCATGATGCCATCCATGTCATTTTCAATTTAAAAACAGACATAGGTATTATTTTCGGGATTAGAAAGTCACTAATATTATCTAAAATACTGAAAAAGTCAACAATTCATCAAACGACCAGATTTTAAATAAGTATGCATTTTACTTGGCATATTTGTTATGTTCATGCTCATAAAAGATTTGTTTTTGTTTACAAGTTAGGGTCAGAGTCCTACATAAGTACGTGACGTAGATACTATAGATGTGATTGTTTGACTGGAGAGAGGTTCCGTCTATTAATATTCCTTGAGTGCACACAAACGGATAGGAGGCAACGGAAGAGACACGCTAATGCGCGCTGATGTATTTCTGTCAACACCTGTTAATGGTCGACTTGACTAACTTTTTATTTACAGAGAACAAATTATTTTAAAAATACAATTAAAGTCTCTGCAATCAGAACTTTACTAGCGAATAAGTGTGATTGATATACTATTAAGTAAATCGTTTATGTAATAACAACGTATATCTAGCTTGAAACTTCATGCAGCTTTAACTTTAAAGCAGAAATCATTGTAGCATTGACGTACTGATTGTCCAAAATTGCAAAGAAATACATCATCAACTATTCTTGTTAAGTTCAAGTAATAAATTAAACTGATAATTACTATCGCAATGGTTTATTACTTTATTTATTTTTAATGACAATTATCAATGCAAATTATATTTTACATTGTAAAAGGTTCAACTTTACAAAGTAAATAACATCACGTACACATTTTTTTTAATGTCATTAGCATTAAAAAAGCAAAGCTAATCAAGCGATGTAATCGGAAATACCTTGAGATTCTAACGGTAAAGTTTTTCAAGCTGAAGAAAGCGCATCAAAAATAAAAATAGTAATTAAACAATATAATCTGCGCGAAGAGGCAATAAAGCACAAAATTAGTGCCTGTCCTCTGAGACAACAGCGTGACTGCGTTGAGTGACTTAGTTTTTATAGTCCACGGGTCTCCATTCTTAACTCAAATGACGTATACGAAGAGAAACTGAACTTTTTATAAATAATCACGAGGCCAATTTCGTGCAAAGATTTGCCTAAAGATGATAATAAAACAGCATTTAGCTCTTTTAACAACATCTAAGCCATAAACACTGTAAGAACGGAATAGATGAAAATGTATAACAATAAAATTTACCAGTATGTAGACGTAGCCACAACAGTTGCGACGACCTGAATAATTGAAACTAAAGAAAGTGACCACATGATACATTACACGATTAATAAAACAATGTCAGTCGCTTTCTGCAAAAGGTTAACTTTAAAACTCGGCTGAGCAAAGTCCGTGGGAACGAACAAGCGATGTCTGCTAGCTGAGACTTAGCGATCTTCCTTCACACCTCTTACGTAAATAAAGGTCAGCAAATTAGTGAGATAATGTGAGAACTGCTATCCAGATAATGTTACACGTACCAACGGAACTTCAGATAAATTTAATTGTAATCTATTAGATTGGCAAAGTGTTTAAAAACTTTCAGTTAAACCAACGTTTCTTAGTTAAGAAATTAACTAGTATTACCTTAAGTTACATAAGTGTCTTATTTAACAAAAAAAAATTACGCGTTTCACTTAGAACCTTTACCAGATAAGTTTAACATTAATTTGTAGAGACATTCGTAGACACGTTTCACCTTCTAAGCGACGGATACCATAGCATTTAAAATCTGTATTAAGGATAACAGGTCGTGAAAAAAGTTATAACTGCACTTGCGTATATTCCCCGTGTGTTTGATGGTGCAGTGAGACTCGATGTACGTTTTAATTTACGGTTTAATTCTAACGGTATCCTATACCGTGTAGAGGACAGCTTAGTAATAAAGTCGGACATTTATTCCGTGGTTTTATAAAATAAATTACGAAACAATTATTGTACTCGTTTAGTATGAAGAATCATAAAAAAATTAATATCTAATATTCGACCGATTTAATTCGATTCGCTTTAATTTCACGCGGATTCGTTGCACTCAAATCTATTGCAAAAGCCGACATTAACCTTGCTTGTATCGATATATCTCTAAACGATTTCGAACCCAACTGGAAATTGGTTTTAAAACGTTGGCGCTGAAGAAAAGTGTCAATGTTTTGTTCACGAACGAAATTATTAATTTACTAGCTTTCGCCTGCGACTCCGTCCGCGTAGTATTAAAAAAAAACAAAACCAAGTAGACTATGTGTTCATCCAGACTATCCTCTGCATTTATTCCAAATTTCATTAAGATTTCGTTCAGCAGTTTAGGCTACAAACTCTAACAAACATCCATTTATCCATCTAACCTTTCACATTTTTAATATAAATATGAAGTATGATTTGTTAACAGAAACGTAGAATGAATACATATCAGTTTAAAAGAATCTGAGGAAGATTGCAATGTTAACGTGCGCATGTCTCTCACTGAATGGTATGTAAAGACTTGAATTTTGTTTAATTGTTTACAGTTTACACAAGTGTTACGTAAGCAAACAAACCATTGTCTATTTATACGAAATTATTCACAATTACTTAACCATAGCTGTTAAATAACAGATTAGTCGAAGAAAAAAAAGTAAAAACAGGTTTCTTTAAACACGATAAAATTGCTTGTTACTTTGTTTCAGAAGTGAACAAATCTATTCGTAAAATATACTAAACTATGAAATAGCACGTTACTAGAACTTAACGTATTCATTTTATACGCTTAGGCATTTTGCTTCTTAGAAAACGTTCGCTGCAGTTTCTATTGACGATGCAGTCATGCAGTAACAAGTAAATAGTTGTTAAGCTTTGCACCCTATTACCACAGTTATAGTTGCTATTGTTAAGTGCATGTGCACCCGACTGTATGCGAATCGTTTGCGATAAGCAAACAATGTGACGAGCTCAACACTCTGACACTTGACCTGGATATAGATGGATCTCTGGGATTATAGATGTAATGTGAAAATAGGTATATTGTTAACTATAAAGTCATCATGCTCAATAGATATTTGTAGGCGAAGAGCTTAAATATAGAATGGAAACCAAGATTAGTACCTTTGTTTTTGTTACTTTAACTACATCTGTAGTTAACGATAAGGATTGGTAAATCCTAATCAGATTAAAAAAATTCAAAGGGAAATTTAAAGAAAACTCTAAAAAAGGAGATATTCTTACCCAGCGGTTATAAGGATTGTTTTACGAAACAATTTGATGAAGCCACTTCGTGGATAACACTCGCAAAGCCAAATCTCAGCTAAAAGGGGATAGCTATTCTTTAATTTACATGCAAAATTTAAATGAACTTTCACACCTTAGCAACAATTTTTAGCATATAAACTTCGTGCCCTAAAATACAAAATAACATAAGATGTTACTTTTTTTTTACTAGGATGTGAAGATGCTGTAAAAAGTAAGTGCACGACATTTGAGTTGAGCACGCGAGGATAATAAACCTGAAGGCATGATACACATGTCTCGCACTATCACGAGCCTGTCCGATTCCCACGCGCAAACAAACCCGGGTACTTTATTGTTTGAGGGCTGTCAAATAGAGGAACCTGTTTTGACTCCTATGAGAAAAAGGGTTGCATTTTTGGAGAGATTTCATATGAGATCTTTTCATCCCATTGGTCGGTTTCATTCCCTTTTAGAACGCTATTTTTATCGCATCACAGCAGAATGTCAAAGGTGATATTATATAAATGTTGTTTACTTATTGATTATTATAAAGTTAATAGGTTATCAACTTATTAAAAATAGATATGGCTAGTTCTTCACAGGTTTATCCGATAGAATGTGGTTAGCTCACACAAAAAAAAAACTGAAAACTGGAAAGTAAACTCTTGATGTTTGATCGGAGATATTATAGTTAATGATATAACGATAAAATTAGTGTTTTTAAATTTAGTAAAGATGGTAGAAGATATCGGCAACCCTATCTCATCTGGTAAGTACCAAACTAGGACGCGTCGTCAACATGACATTTTTGTTTATATTAACAGCAGCAAACTGGGTAAAGTTACAAAACGTTTATTTGGTGTTAGTTATTAGAATTAAGTGTTGCCTATTGTTACTGTATTTAAAAGGTTTTGCACATTTTTAAAAATACTTACATGGAATCTCTCCACAATATTCCATCATTATAATGAAATGCACAAATGCAACAACTGCATGAAATTTATTTATCTTTGTCGTGAATGGTCTATCCAAACAAAAACTCAAAACTTTGAATGTTTAAAAGAAAGTTAAAAGACTTTAAAGAAGTATAATCCAAAAATAGAGAAATTTCATGGGTATAAATAAAAACTCACTTAAAATAGCCAGGAAATGAATAAATGTCTTTTAAATTACAACACGCAATTGTTTATTCACCAATTACCATTCGAAAGTAACCGCAGGTTGATAAATAATGTGAGGCATTAAATTTCTCAAGAGATTGATATAAAATTTAAACATTTCTTACCATTTTTACGCGTTACACAGAAACAGGACAACATTTTACTTCGAGCACTTACAGCATCACAATGTTAACATGTGTAACTTTCAGCACAATAACTTCAACACTGAACGTAGAACAATATGCGTGTACTGCACAGGTTTCTGATATCGGCTTGAGACTAGGGCTGTCACTTCCTCGGTTTTGATTAGAATTCTTTGGGTTTTATAGTAGATAGTACACCTACGAGTTTGATTATTTCGGGATATTGTGTGGTGTGAATTCAAATAAGTCAATGGACGTCAATCTCTATTTCTGGTATTTTTCCGCAAATAAATTTCGGTTGACAAATGTATGGTGTTTATTTTTTTATTCGACGCCAGAGTCATTTACTAAAAGTGGGCAGCCCTATCCGAGACACACACGTGCTTATCAGTTGGCCCGTACATATGTGTGTAAGCATAGTAAATATTCGTAAGTTAAAAGAGCACACTTTGCATACGAAATTTACGCTAACCACTTCAAGGGCATGCGACAAAATGACAGGAATGGACAATTACTTCGACACCTTGTTAACGAATCGTGACCTTGTTGGGGCAGATATTGATGTTCCAAAAAAACGAGAAGATCGTGTTTTTCCTTATTCTTCGACATTGATTTGCTCTTAAAGTAATGGAAACGAAACTAAGCTAATACTAATATACATACGTGATTGATGTGACTGGGATTTTCCACAAATTGACAAGAAAAATCTGCACATGTTTATTATATTATATAAGATACAGTTTGTTCTAAAGATATGACATTGAAAAAGCCATTAGTGATTATCTTAACTTCTCGACGGGGATAATTTATTATCAAAGTTGGAAAAAACTAGTTTCATGGATGTCATAGCGTTTAATTAAAAAATGATTACAATTCCAATGATTGTCTTTCCAGATCATTGTTGTAACAGGAATTTTTGGTTTACTTTAACTGAAAATTATTATTAGAACTATAGTAAATAATCCAATTAAATCGTCTTGCATATTTAATGGTAAGATAACGGAAGCGAAGTAAGCGGCGTGAAATATTATAGATAGGGAACGTCCTAGTGGGCTATAAATAAAATTGGGCCTTTTTAAAATCACTTCAAATGGTGCTTGTTATTAAAATAGGCAGCTGTGTGTCCCGACCGGGGAGTGTGCTACTGTTGAAATAAAAAAATCTACAACAGCTGCATATTGCGTGAAGATATGCAATTGAATAGCATTCCAATGAGAAATACGATGGCTTGCGCGCAAATCAACCGCGAATAATAGACACGGGTTTAATACTTTTTGTAATAATAAAGTTTTAAAATGATGACTTTAATCTTAGCTTATGGATTAGAAATTCTTTCTCTCCTATATCTTATATGGATGACATTTTTTAATTAAATTACTTAACATATTATTGTCTTGTTTTGTTTATATTTCAACTTACTCTACAGTGATTTTTACTTGCAATAATATTTATTAATGTTTTAGACGCGGAAAATTACGGTAACACTTTTTTCATGCTCATATTTTTGGTACAGATTCTCGACCTCTGAATGTTAAAGATAAAAACTGTCAATGATATTATTTTATTTAAGGTACACTTATTCACTTACATAATGTTTTATTTTGGGTTTAGAACCCAATCTTAGAGATTAGTGATAGTTCAGCAGTGTAAAAACTCAGAATTAAACTGACTTTTGACCAACAAATCATCTTGAGCTTCAAATTTTTGTATTATTATTATTTCATAAATTTATTCTTAAAAAAGAAGAAAAGAAATAGGATTAAAAGCGAAATAAAAAGCTTGCGATAACTATACTACTTATTACAAAGGCCATAAAATTACTTCGTGTAAGAAACGTGAAAGAATTCGTCAACTAACCATTGTTTATGGTGCTAAAAAGGGTCCAAATACATTTCTCTGTGATCTGGATGAAATTAATCTTGGTATTATTGTAAACTGCTTACCTTTCTTAGAACCAAACAATGATTTTAACTTCGATATCGTTCGTTTCTTCATTTTAGTAGAGTAAACACGGAATCACTAAGCGATTGTATACATCGGCCCACAACAGACAGAAATACACTCAACACAACGTCCTCAAGTTTTTCAAGCAGACATAGCTTTTTGCTCCTTTTGCCGCTCTTATTTCCGTGCTACGAAAATAGGCCCAGCGTTACACTTATACCGGCGCTGGCGCATCACTCATATACACATTATGTTTCAAATTAGATCACTAGGTTTATAATTAAGAAAACACTTTATGCAATCAACTAAGCTACGTTTACATTGGTATAGAATGCTAATATTACTAAACACCTTATCTCGTTCGACACTTCGCTTATCACCGGTATCACATGTCAGTGTGCGTTACGATAAAAAAAAGTTAAAGTTAAAAGCACACACGTAGAGCAAAACACTAGCCGCCGACACAAGCTCTGCTATAAAACTGAACCGGAGTTTAAATGAACAACAAAATTAGGAAATTAATAAAATTGACCATACCGGTCGTCACAAATTTAAATGACGTACGAGACGGGATTACACAATTCTATGACCGTTTATGTAGTAACAGTTCACGAAGTAAACGAGCCACGACGAGCGGGAAGCGCTTGCGGCTATTCTAGTGCGTGCTGTGGACGCAACTGAGTAGGGTACGCACTACACGCAGCGACACACGAGCGACGCACGAGTCTACACGCGGTCCATCCTTACACATTGGTCTGTTACAAAAATCGTTATAAAACCACGAACCCTCTTCCGTTAACAGAATCCCGTTTCCGTGCGAGCGCGATCGAGCGGCGAAATAGAATGGACTCGAACGCGATGCATAGGAGAGCCAGTTTAACTGACGACCCGACGGCCGTGGTGACAACACCGGAGGCGATGTATCCGTTGCACTTTAAAAATGAGCTCTCGACGAGTGCGAGTATTCTGATCAGGATACTTTAGGAAAGAATCTCGATCGGTATAATGGGTCGCGCATAAATCAAAGGGTGTGAAGGGTACACATAGATTTACTTGTAAGGGTGAGAGGGAGCGAGTGGGGCAAAAAATCGAAAGGAATGTTCAACGATTTTTGCGTCAATTATATCCGTTTCTCACGGTTCTTATTTGTAGTTCACAGCTAAGTGTTAAGTATACTACGGGACTAATTTATACTTGTTACGTAATAATTAAGCTTTGCGAATTTTACGTAGTTAAAATTAAAATGTTTTTCCAAGTTGCAAGTAGCTTGTAAAAATATTCGAACAACTTTAAAGTCTATTCACGGTACACTGCAGTAAAACTTTAGTATGTATTCTAGTGTTGTCCAATCGATAAGCTAATATATTAAACTATTGCAAATGTGTAATGGAAACATCGCCGTATCGTAACAAAGTAAACGAGCAAAATAAATAGCCAATCTCTTTATGTCAGGGTCGAGAGCAATGTATACAAATATCAGCAAATTGCATTATTGATAAATACGAGGAAGCCATATTTAGTGATTATTTCGAAAAACAGTTAATAATTGGTCCAACTGAGCTATAACCGTACCAAAGTCTTCAATTGAGCTAAATTAACAATAAACTGATTTAATAAAACAGCTCCAAAAGATTAATGTTTGTTATACATTGATTAATACATTTCTAAATATAAAAGGACATAATGAAAGTTGGTGTAGCCCAGCGTGTATAGCTTCATTACCCATTGTCTCGGTATAATTCATAGGTGTGAAAGAGAGAGCGTATCAATTCATCCAATTTCTATGGGCAGCATCAAAAGCAATGGCCTGGGACGAACCGCTGCGTTACACTTGAGTGAGTACAATGTACACACCGAGGTAGGGGTCTCGGGTTTCTATCTGGAGGAGTTTTTAAATCAAATATGCAGTATATATTTAAAGTTTTGGTATACACAGTTTTTTAATTTTACTTTTAGGCATAATATGACATTATTTGAAGGTTACCTTTTAGATTGAAAAAATTTCGCGCCAGTGAAACGTACCATTCTACTTAGTAGTGATAAAAATTATTAAATTTCTCCTACATTTATATTGTAATAAATCTGATATAAAATTGATATGCAACATATTTAAATATCACAAATGAAACCACTTTGATATTTGCGCTTGGAATCGCTTATTATCCTGCACTTGTATGTTTTTAGCTTTCTTCATTATCTACCGGTATTAATACCTATCTACCATCAGATTATTTTTTTTAAGTAGTCTATTACATTTACAATCATTTAGTTACTAAGAAAGAGTCCACATCGTGACTTTAAAATCAGATAATGTACCAAATCGTGCCTCTTGTTGCAAAATTGTGACATAGAAAATAGCAGTAAATAATATGTAGAAATTACGGTTACGCATCCCTAAGATAGTAATTAGAAATTAATCATTATTTTGACTAATCCATTGATCTGACCTAACAAAGGGATTAAAAGCTAGGTAAACAACTCTGTGTTGATCTGGTCACTATTTTATTCATTTACTATCTTCTACATCTATGCCAGATTTCATAAAAATCCATACAGTCGTTTAGGCTACAAACTCTAACAAACATCCATCCATCTAATCTTTCCCATTTCTAATACTAGTATGAAGTATGATTGGAACATAAACAGAATACATTTACATTATCAAACACGTTAATTCGTCAGTAAGTCACCATGATTATAAGGTGTTTAACTGTAAGTTGTAGATACCGTAAACATCTACTTCATCTAGTAAACAAAAATCATAACTAAGCATTTAAATATTACTCCATTGTTCTCTCGGACAATTCATACGAAACTAAATCTTAGCGCATATTACGTACATAACTTGTATTGCGTAAGTGTTGAGGCATCGCTACGCACAGGTTGGATTGTTTCCACGGTCCGAACGTAAGGCATTAACCCCGCAAGTATAGGAGAGCTTTTAAAAGTCCAACAAACATAAATACAATAAATTTAGACGCAAGCAGGGGGCCACACACTTGAACTTTACCAAAAATAACGCCACTTAAAACAAACAGGATAGTTAATAATTTATAAATTTTGTATTTCATTTCCGTTACTTTGAACTTACCGTAATATGACTGATGCATATTACATACATATTTAGATTTAAAAGAAGGTAATAGTATTAAATATAATTTGTAATGGTTTTTAATATGACGTCTTTGTTTAGTCCCTTATTTATTCAAAAACATGCAGCAAGCTAGATTCGATCTCTACAACAATTAGATACAATGTTTTATTATTGAGAAACAAATAAAAAGCAACGTAATAGCAATTCACGTAAAGTACGCGTTTTTATCATAACTAGCTATCTCCATATACAGTAAAAGCACCATATAAGTGTATTTGCGTGAGCAATTTTGCACGCATTTTTGCGCTAACGGAGAATAACTAGATGCTATGCAAACAATGTGACCTGGCAACATTACTAAATAAGTCAACGACACATCATAGCAACTTCAAAACAAAGAAACTTTACAACTAGAAAACTTACTGTATAAGGTTTGCTTCTAACAAAGATAAATCGACGTTTCATTACTGTAGGTTTTCATTATCAAACTTGTATAAAAACTTTATAAACCATCTCATCATCATTGTACCTAACACTCTGCAAATTATGTGCGGGTCTTTCATACATCTCTATCAGCCGTCATATACGAATTCACTTTCTTCTTAAGCATATCCTCTTTCACCCAATCCATACTTTCTGGTTTTCCTCTACATTTGTAGCCATCTACATATGATCTTCAATCTTCTTTTTTATAAATCCTACGAATGTAAAAATGACCTAAACATGCGAACATTTTGAAATGATCCGTAAGAAAAATAGGCCTTTTGGAGTACTATTTTGTTTCACAGTACTTGCATTACGTGTAGTATTGCATTACTTGGGCTAGTATAATATTGTATTATCTGTGCTTGTAGTAACTGCAGCGCTTCCAAATTGAGCAAAGCTATCGAATGCGCATTGTGCAATATGCGTAAAAATAAATATTGTGCGATCAGTCAGACCTTGTCTGCATAGTCAGACATTGTTTGTTGATTGGAATGCATTTATTTCATAACATTATAGAGTCTAGACTAAGCCTAATAAACTAGATGACTTGGTCAACCTTATTCAGAAGAGACAGGAACATTAGAATTTAATGAGAACTTTCAATTTTTTTCAAATTAGAATTAAAATCAAACAAATTGTGATATCTGTAAGTGTTAAGTTAATAGATAAAGCTATAAATTCCTATGAATGGACGTCAAGTAAACAGTAGAGTAGGCACGGAGGTAACAGGTGTGACGGGACCGTAAGACCGCGTGTGGGCGACATTACGAAGGTTCATTATCAACATGACGTGTCACGTATGATATTTTTATAATACCACCCACGACTCAAGTCCCTGGCTTTAAATTCGTATGAAGTCATTCCGGTGTCGCCTTGAAACAATTAATGATCGTTATTAATTTGGTCACAATTTTGTGTAAACGGGCAAATGTAACTTTATCTATGTACTAGCTTTAGCTCGCAACTCCGTCCGCGTGGATTTAAAAAAAAACACAAGTGATTGGCCTTTGTGTTCTTCCAGACTATGCTCCACATCTGTACCAAATTTTATCGAAATCCGTTCAGCCATTTATGCTACAAACTCTAACGAACATCCATCTAAACTTTCGCATTTATAATATTAGTATGAAATAATAAAATTGTTTGTTCCGGGTAATCTCCGAAACGACTGGGCTAATTTCGGACTTTCACTGAAGGGTAGCTGAGATAGACGGGCATATTATAAGCTACTTTTTATGTTAATATTGCGTGGACGAAATCGCGGGCTACACCTAGTAGCTACTAAAAGATGTCACATGAAGTTATCAGTAACAATCAATAACAAATTAATTTACTATTCAAATAATCGATTAAGAAATATTTTATTATAGAAAATGATAAACGTTATTAAATGAAAGAAATTATTAAAGAATCTACAGTTGTACTACTACTGGTGAAGTAGTCATTAGAGTAATCAAACACATAGTAAACTACTTGTTACCAACTTCATAAGGCTTTAACCGTTATCCTGTAGCAAAAAGACATGTTTGATTGATTAAAACCAGTCATTGCTTGCATTTTATGTATGCGTATTTAACAGAGCGATTCGTATCTTCTTAATTTGGTGGTCACCTTTACAACCAGTTTCTCTTCAATGAATGTCATCTTTATCGCGCGCCGCCCGTTGATATAACCAACGTAATAACATCTTATTATCAGACTACAAAAAAAAGAGATAAAACGACTTATTATCTTAACACACTTTTTAAGATACCGCCAGAAAAACCAAGTTTTATTAGTGAAGTTGAAAGAATTGCCAAATTAAAAAACAAACCACAGTGAACCGGAAAAACCGGAGACAAAAACAATGAAAAACACACTAGAGAAGGAAATGCCATATTTGCCATGAATGCAATGGCAAATGCCATATTAAAAAAATAGATAAATGCTAATGTACTTCGCGTTGGTTGTTTTTAATATTTCCCGACGTCATATCTATCACATTTATAAGACAAATTAAGACTTGACAACTTTCACTCATGAGAGCGTGCATGCATATAAGATAATTAGCCCGTTTACTTGATTACTTTGTATAGTATGACGATGAACGGTAACCGAAAACCGTAGTCGAGAAAAGATAAAATATTCCTTCTTATATATCCAATCACGTTACTCGGTAGGCAATCTTTGCGA